ATTCGCTCACGGGTACCGAAGAGAAGGGGTAGTATACTATTCCTGGGTTGGATTCGTCACTGCCATGAGTTGGTATACGCCCTTCCTAAAGGTTGGATATCCTTGCGAGGATTTGGGTGTGTGTGTGTGGGGCTGGATATTCTCGATGTGTTTATTCATGCGAATCATGCATCATACCTGAGATATGAATACAAGTTGTGGGTTTATGATTTATTGTGCTAGAAAAGGTTTTCTACAAGAGCTTGTGGAGGTATGAGACTCTACAAGGACTTGTGGGAAATGATTTATGGTTGGAAGTGGTTTATTGTTGGAAAATTCATTTTACTGTTCATTTAAATTATTGCTATTGAGTAAACTTGAGATCCGTTGAAATGTCCCAGTTTTATTTCAAAAATTGATATATGATATTTGCAAAATGAGGCCGAATTGCTTTATACGTTTTCTAAACCTTGTTCGAGTTTGGGAGGAATGTTGCTACAGAGCTTATTGCTCACCCCTACAAACAATATATTTTTCAAATTACGTGTTAGATGAGGAGCTCGGTGTCGATGAGCAAGTGCATTGGGAAGCTCCACTAGACGGGCACGTGGATCCCGAGGTGGATGCTTAGGGTTATACTCTCCTAGATGCTAGACTAGGAAATTTCTTTTGAGATTATGTAGAGACTAATTTTTTGTTATATTTCGCTGCAAGTTTAAATGTGATTCTTTTGAAATATAATAGTCATGTTTTGGTATATTCTTTTGGGAATGATGTTGTAAATATTACATTTGATGAATGAAATTTCTTTATTGATGAATTTTATTAGTTGCTCTCATGATGTGAATGGATTTAGATTTTAATGCCGTTCAAGGGAGAATTTGGGGCGTTACAGGTTCTTTACTTAATTTGTTATATTTGTGTGTTTGGCACTTTGTGTCAGAAATGGGGATAATTTTTGGGTGATAATTGGGAGAAATTCTTATAACCAGCCAAGGATTAGTTGCATGAGAATAAGCTAAGGGGAAGTTTGTTGAAAGTACACAGGGGAAGGACATTTACAAAATTGGTATAAAATCACTCATTTTCTTTGTTGTTTTATATTTGTTATTTGCTTGTGTGAACACAACCTAAGGGGGAAAACTTATTTTGAATAGTCTTTGCTAAACCTATAAGTTCTCGAACATAATTGGACTAGAATTTTGTATATATGTTGCATGGATTACATCAGCATTTCTTAAATATGTTTTTGTGGGTAAAATGGGTTCAATGGTATAATTGACAAATTAATGTTTTAATTTGGTAATTGTGGTCTAGGTTATAAGTTGGTAGTTGTCTGAAGCTTATGTAATGCCCCAAATTCCATAATTTGGGCATTACCTAAGTATAACCAGTCAATCATGGGATCAACTACAATTTCATCCAAAAATATCTGAACATTCCCCATACCTCATGAATAAATAAAATCTTCCAAAACTAAATAAGTAATTCCCCAAGTTTACATCTCAAAACATCTAAATAATACTAAGTCTCAAAACAAATAACAAACTATCGAATATTTATTACATCACCAAGGAATGCATTCTAAAAAACCTATAAATTGAAAAGAAAACTCTAAACTTCGGCTCTGAGATCTCCATCCTGATCAAACTTAATCTCGAAGCTCACTTGTTTATTCAACTCAATATCGTCCTCTGTTCCAAAATTTGAGAGTGGTGGTGGTACAAGGTGAGAAAAAGCATGTAGGAAATTCCTCTCAAATCCAAACAATATTTTTGAAGCATAAAATAGGAAAGCCTATTTTGAAAAAAAAACATATATATAACATGAGAAAATAAAACAATGCCAAATGTAACGATCTCAAGTTTATGGAATACAGTTCTTCAATAACATAAGTAAATATTCATGCATCAGAGTAAATAAAGAAAAATTCATAAATAAAAATTTCAAGTATCTCCTGAATGTTGGTTACTTCTTAAGGAACTACACAACGAACCTATCTCATTCATCCACCACAAACACCAATAATCTCAATCATTTCCCGTAAGGCCACATCACAAACTACTTTTGAAAGAACATGTACTGTCTCACATGGCATTGATGAATCCATACCTACGTGAACAGTAGTAGTTGACCTCTCAAGGAACAACCCCTACAAGTGTTAGGAAATCATCTCACCCCCCCCCCCCCAACTAGGATAAACTAACCTCTAACACTTTACGGTAGCTTTCGAAGACAATCCAAATCCGTCAAACCCTAATCATATAAGAAATAAAACCTTAACTTTATCAAAACCGTATACTCAACCAAGTACAATTTTCATCAAAATTCATGTATCACAAATTTCACAATTCTAAATGTACAAGAATAAAAGAATTAAAATATACAAGAGATCGTATCAAGAAAGTCTTCATATTTGCGATATCAAAATCTCGAGAGTTTGCCAAAAATCTCAATTTATTGGAGATAAAACTAATATTTGGGTATAAACATGATTAAGTCGAGAAGTATTAGTTATAAATCAAGAATCAATGAGTTTTTTGCATAAAAACATGTACATGACAAAAATAAGGTTTTGGAAAATCAAAAACAAGAGTTTCTTGAATATAAAATATGCATTTTGATCAAAACAACTATTGAATCAGAAGGAAATCAAGAACTAATAATTATTTAGCATATAATCATCAAGAAGATCAAAAGAATACAAAAATATAATTCCTAACTTCAATGAAAAACTCAAGAAGAATCATCTACCTCAATCCGATGTTTGATATCTGTGTTTGAATCAATCCAATAAGGGATTCCTTCGAATTGTGCGTTTCTTCCATATTTTTTGCTCTCTAGAGGTGTCTAGAGTTAAAAACTGATGAAATGTGGCTAAAACGAATGTCTTTAAGTATTTATAGGGTCATAATTTGAACAACTTAAGCGAGTCTGATCATTGTTAAATTTGCACTTGCGTTCAAACAGAAGATTTGTGTTCGGACATACGTCATTCGAACGTAAGTGGCATTCAAATGTTTGTTGCTCCTAGTATCTCAATTTCTGTTAGAAACCAAACTACTTAGCTAAGCCACGTTCGAACGGAATATTGCGTTCAAACGTGGTCCCAATTCTTATAAGAACTTCCACTATAGTTTTGACTTATTTAAGAGTAAAAATTTCAGGTCAATCTAATGTCAAACTACAAAGTTATAGGTAAAATATTAAGACAAGATCTAGTTATTCACTTCCTAACTTCTCCTTATGATGAGTATAATATCCAAAATGCCTCATATCTTTTGATACAACATATATAACTTATCCCTAACTCATTATTTATACATGAAACAAATAAGACTTAATAAATATATAATTATAAATACACAAGGGTTTATAACTTATTTTTTAAATAATCTATTCCCCACTTCTAGGTTATTTGTGCAAATCCTCTTAATAATTATATAATTATAAATACACAGGGGTTTAGAACTTATTTTTTAATTAATCTATTCGCCACCTCTAGGTTATGTGTGCAAATCCTCGTGTATAAATGAGTGAGAAGATCACTACACTAGGAAATTCCATTGTTGTTGCAATGAATAAGTTGAAATATTTCATTGACATTTTCTATAGTTTCTGAAATATTAATGCACATTCTTGTAATTTATATATGCATTTCAGTGACTACTTTTACTGTCTATGTCGTTCCTGGTAACCAAAAAAAGCATGTGATGTGATTGTATATTCAATTATGAATTACTAAATTTACCACCGACTCAAATAGACAAAGGTGAGACTAATATAATGTTATCCTCTCTTCGTATTTAAAGCAGTAGGCAATTCATGCTTGTTCTAATTTCCAACTACACTAGAAGGGTTGAACTCCTTTACCAATACAAGTAGCTCAGTTTGACGAAATTGAATATTATTTAGATGTTAATTTGATAAAATCAAATGTTAACGAAATGAATTAATTGTGGATTTGATGAAATTGAACACTGATTTGACAAAATTTCAAGATCAATTTAGTCTCAATTTAATAAAATTGAATATTAATTTTGTGCTAATTTGATAAAACTAAATGTTACTTGGGTAAAAATGTTAATTTAATAAAAATAAATGTCAATTTGGTATTGATTTGATGAAATTGATCCCTGATTTGGTGTTAAATTAAAGAAATGATGCTAATTTGTAAAATTGAATGTTATTTTAATGAAACTAAAGGTTGATTTGGTTCTAAATTGATGAAATTGAATGTTAATCGAATGAAATTAAATGTAGATTTGAAGAGATTGAATATTAATTTAATGAAATTGAATATTAATTTAGTGTTAAATTTGATGAATCTGAATGCTGATGTGATAAAATTGAATGTTATATTGATAAAATTGAAGGTCAATTTGGTGTTAATTTGATTATATTAAATATTAATTTGATATTAAATTAATAAATTGAATGTTGTTTGATAAACGTGAATATTTTTGTGTTAATTTAATGAAATTGAGTATTAATTTAGTTTTAGTTTGATAAAATTGAAGGTTAATTAAATGATTAAATTAAGTTTTAGTTCAATGAAATTCAATGTCAAATTGATGAAATTAAAAGTCAATTTGATGCTAATTTATCGAAATTGAACATTAATTTGATGTTAATTTAATGAAATTAGATAGAATTAAATATTTGATAAAATTTAATGTCATTTTAGTGTTAGTTTGATGAAATTGAATATATTATTTAGTGACAATTTTATAATAAAAAAAATTTGTGACTATAGTTAGATTGAGGCATAACAAGAGGTAAGAATTATAAAAAAATAAGCGAATACGTGGTGTTCGGATGCGAGATTAAAGAATTTAGGGCAAAATTGGAAAATAAGTGTGCGGCTAGAAGCAAACTCAAAAAGGAAGCGATGTCATCTGAAAAACTACAAGAATGATTTCCACAATTCCACTAAACCAAGAGGGTGTGACTGTAATTTTTCCTGCTTGTTAATCTGTGTTATCTATAATCTATTCATCCATCGGACAACATAAACGGGTGAAAGGTTGACAGGAACAGAAAGTAGCGAGGATACTATAAAGTGAAGACGAGTTTTTCCCAGTGAAGGGGAATTTATCGCCGTCGGCGGCGAATCCATTCAAGCCAGCCAAGATCATCATCTCCGGCGCCGGCCATCTGCCTCTCAGTTTTCACTTCACTTCTACTGATACCATTTCTTTACATGAGAAAAGTGTAGCTTCAGATTATACATTTCCGCATGGTGGCTCGCAGTAGGAGAATTGATTGAAATTGGGTGACTAACTACCGATGTTTATAAGCAAAAACGTCACCGCCAGGGTTTTCCAGCGCCAGATTTCTACTCCTGCTCCTGGAACTAATGTATGTGGTTGCTGCCTCTCTCTCTCTCTCTCATGTTTTGTTACTTCCTTTTATTGTCCTTTGATTAGTCATTTTTCTAGTTTAGTGGTTAGAATTGGGCTCAATAATTTCCAATTGTGGGTTCTAAACTGAGACCGTACTAACCCCATTGTTAGCCACTGCTCTAGGTTTGCATTACATGAAGTTTAGCTTTCTACATTCCGTTCCATTTTTTTCTCTCTACCTAGTCAAAGAGACTACTAGGCTTTTATCTTCCCAGCTTATCTCACATTTTGACTTGTTCCTTAGCCTTTGCATTATAAATTAGACTGGCTAAAATATCTACATTTCTCCACATTCACCAAGGTTAAAAACAATGATCAATATTTCGTTTTCTTTCCACTTAAATGTTGCTGTTTTCATGGATTAAATATCGAAATTTTCATTTTTCAAGGTGTTTTAAAATGATTCAATGTGTTTTGGTATGTTTCGATCTGTCAAACAAATCTTTATATTTTTTCTTCTTTTATAATTTTGTTTTTGAAATATTTCTGAAACTTTTCGAATCATTATTGTTTCAAGCTGGCCAAAACTATGCACTGATTTTTTTTTTCCTTAGTTAAAAAGTTTGAAAACCTTGGTGATTGGAAATATATTATGCTCACCCACCTCGAGTGCCCCAACTTCTTGTGCCTCTAAATGAGATTTATAAATCATAAAATTGTTGCTTGCAGATTCATTGTGCCAGGCGATTTTATGAGAATATAGTCCCAAGTTATACTATATATGATGTTGAATGCCCTGACCTTTCACTCCGCAAGTTCACTGAGGATGGCCAGTACCTCATAAGTTTTAGCAGAAATCATCAGGATCTGATTGTTTATAGACCAACTTGGCTTTCATATTCGTGCAAAGAGGAAGATTGTGACAAGTGTGATCTCCCCTCGAAAGCTAGAAAATTTGAGAGCTTTTTCACCCAACTCTACTGTGTATCGCTTGCGTCCAGCAGTGAACTTATATGCAAAGACTTCTTTCTTTACATAGAGAATAACCAATATGGACTCTTTGCAACTTCAACTGCACAAATTCAAGATGCACCTGCTGTGGGAGGAGCTATTCAGGGCATTCCTTCCATCGAAAGGATTACTTTTCATCTCTTGAGGTGCACATATAGTTCTATGATTTATGGGAAATTTTTTATGCACTATATATTTCTTAACCATTGTCATTTATTTCTCATGATGATGTGCTCGGTTTCATTCAGATTGGAAGATGGAACTGTACTTGATGAGAGAGTTTTCTGCAATGACTATGTTAATTTGGCCCATAGCATGGGTGTTTTCTTGTACGAGGATTTACTGGCTATAGTTTCCCTTCGGTATCAAAGAATACACATTCTCCAAATTAGGGAATCTGGGAACCTTGTTGATGTACGAGTGATTGGGGAATTTTGCCACGAAGATGATGAACTTTTCCTGAATTCCAGTAATCAGGCAAGTGATACTATTTCAAGCTCTTAATGGAATTATACTGAAGTTCTGCATGAATCAAATTGATTAGACTTGGTGTCACATTTGAGACTTCACTAAGAATATGGGGAATGATATTGCACTTTTGAAAAATTAAAGTTGTAAAACTTATCAAAAAATTAGAAGTGATAGAACTTGACTGTATACACCAGCTTATTAAAGGGAAAAAAAATTGTTGGCTTATGGTTCTATAGGCTGGACAGATCAGATGCATGCCAATTTGTGATGTGTACCATGCTAGCGCGCACAAAATAAATGGTATTGTGGAGTGCAAAACAAGATTTAATATGTATGAAACAGTACAATAGACCTTTGAATCCATTAAATTTTGTCAGTTGCATAGAAGACATGATAGTTTTTTAGATGTTCTATTTGGTCTTTGAAGGATTCTGCCCCTTCAATTTTTAAAAGATTTTGTTTGGGAGTTTTTACAATAGAAAATTAACATTTTTTTTATTACAATAGAAAATAGATTATATGAGGGACAAGAAGTTCATCAATCTGAAACAATGTAAACTAAATGCAACAATCTAAAAAGTGAAGATTACAAGTCAAACATTGACTTTCAATCAGTCATAATTAAAAATAGAGAAATCCCGGAAAAGTGAGGGCACTGCGAAACCCAAAAAGTAAATTCTCTTCCGAATACCATCATGCCCTCAGTTTGTCTTAAAAATGCTTACATTTCTTTCCGATTAAATTTTCTAGAGTATAGCCATCATCAAGTATCTCCAAAGAGATTTAGCTTTCTTTTTCCTTGAAACCCCAAAACTCAATTTCAAACATATCCTTGCAAGAACCCGGAGCAATCCAAGACAATTTCACCAGCCCAAACAACATACTCCATAAAACAGTGAAAATGAACGATGAAGGAAGAGATGATCAATGCTCTCTAATTCCTTTTGCACATCACACACTAGTGTGGAAGTAAAGAAATCATTGTAATGTTGAAATCACACTTAAAATCGGCATTCATGGTGTATGAGCGAGAGAGAGAGAAAGAGCGAGAGCGAGAGAGAGAAAGAGATAGAGCGAGAGATAGAGAATGAGAGAGAGAGAGAGCGTTAACTAGGTAGTGAACCTCGTCGCCAAGCCAAGAAGAGAGACCGACAAAGGAGGGAAGGAAGCGGCGGGTCTGGACTCTGGACACTCTCTACAATAAGTGAAAATAGGAAAATGAAGTTAGGGTTTGAAAAAAATAAGTAGTTCATTATATAGTGGTGGGTAAATTCAGGTCAAAACAGGTCAGACGGGTTCGTGTCAACTGATTAAATACACAGGTCAATTGGGTCAATTTGTGTTAAAGGGTTGAACCCGAACACGACCCATTAACACTTCGTGTTGACGGGTCGTGTCATATAGGGGTTTTTACTAAAAAATAGTCAATTCAAACCCATTTTTTCGTGTCGTGTTCATATCAAGTTATCGTGTCGTGTCAAAAATTGTCATCCCTACCATATGAGCAATGGACCCATGATGAGATTGAGGAAGACGGTACAACTGAGGAAATAATGAAGAGTATGGTTTATCACTCCTCCAAAGATCTTCCCAAAATCGGATTGTAGTCCCGTTACCCACAATCAAACTCAGGGGCGGAGCTAGAATTATATTTTGGGGGCAAAAATATAAATGAAAAAAATGATCCAACTAATGTATATAATTTGTTTTTTTGAACCTATATTAATGAGAATTAAATTGGGTGTTATTTTCATATAAAAAATTCTTTAGGGGTCTGTTTGGTTAGGAAGAAAAAAATGATGGAAAGTAAAAATGATAGAAAGTGAAGTGAAAGAAAAGAAAATGATATAAAATATATTTTCATGCATTTATCTGGTTAGAATAAAAAATTTACAGGAAAGTTTTAAAATAATTTCATTCTATTGTTTGAAAGAAAGTAAAGTTATAAGAATTTTTTTATAATTGTCTAAATTACCTTTAATTATATTAAATTGGTCTAAAAAAGAAAAAATATGTAATTACAATTGAAAGTTAGAAAATTTTAAAAAAGTGGCTAGAAATTTAATTCAAAGGCAATCGTCAACCCATAGGTCTTTGGGCCAAATTATGTGATTAATTGAATTCATACAAATTTTTTTTAAAATTAATAACCAACAAAATATTTTTAAAAAAAATAAAGGTAAAATGGAAAGTTAGTTATAGATCACAACTTTCTTGCATTTCCTTGTGTTTTTTATAAGAAAAAAAAATTGGTTATTTGTAAGAAAATTTAAGGATAAAAGAAAATTATTTTTTCTATCATTTTCTTTTTCATGCTAACCAAACATATGAAAATTTAAAAAAATTCTCTTTCTTACATTTTCTACCATTCTCCCACTAAACAAACGAACCCTAGTTGAAATATGAGAAAATATTAAGATTCTAGACTTTATTACTCTATAAAAAGTATCAACAACATCAACAAAATATGAACAAACAAAAACAATAAAATTTTCACAAGACATTTCAACTCAATTATATACTAAAGTATAATACAACAACTTATTTGTTACAAATTCCAGAATTTGTAATTGATTAATTCTATGATAAGTTTTTTAGCAATGTCCTTTTAATCTTCTTGAGATATTGATTGTTTGGAACTTTGGAGGGGTATAAATGCGTTTAGATTAGTAAATTTTACTATTTACATCTATTTGTATTCTCCTAAGTTACAAGCCACTAACTCACCAAAAAAGAATTAAGAGCAACTATAAAATTCATTTGAAAAAAATAAAAGTGTATTAAATAAGAAATGTTTTTCTTTGGTCTATATATGAGCTAGGATATTTTCTATCTGTTTTACTCAGTCCCAAAAGAAAATAATTATTTTAGTGGATCAAGGATCGAGTAGACCACTAACTTACAAAAAAAAAAAAAAAGGACTATTCTCCAAAAATTAATGGGGGAAAAAGTGATAAATTGAACATATCCTGCTTGCCATAATAGTACATATGAAAGTATTCTTCAAAAGTTACCAGGGAAATTGCCCCCAACCTAATTTGTAGCTCCACGCCTGATCCAATTCCTAGGTCTAGACACTATTTCCCATCTCACCAAATGATCATTTTTTTCTTTCCCATTACCCTCCCACAAAAACTCTCTCATTATTCTCTCAATTCTTCTTGTCACTTTCAAAGGCTTCTTAAACAATAACGTATAATAAATAGGAATATTGAAAGCACCGACTACAAAGTTAGTTTATCTCCTTTTGACAATAAAGTTTTTTTTTCATCTATATAATCTCTTACCAATTTTTCCACCATTGGATCCTAAAAACTCTCGGATTTGTCCCTAAGGACAAACCAAGGTATTTCAGGGACTATTTATCATTAGCACGCCCCAAAATAGCGCACGATCTATCACTTTTATCTTGCAAAACATTAGTACCCATTAATAAACTTTGCTCAAACCTTTTTTAATCCTGAAAAAAAGTTCAAAAATTGGCACTATGTTGTACAGATTAAGAACTTTTTATTCATCCCTTAAGAGAAAGAACATAATATCATTTGCAAATTGGAGGTGAGGAATCAAAGTTGTATTCTTACCCACCACAAACCCCGTAACTAACTTCTTTTTTTATCAGAAAACCCTGTAACTAAAACTCTATTCTTTTAACCAATTTGCTTCAAGAATTCACCACCAAAGTAAACAAAAAATGAGATAATAGATCTCCTTGTCTCAATCCCCTTGAAGCATTAAGACATTTTCCTGCTTCCATTAACAATCTCGGAGAAATTCATTAAACTTAAACAACCATTCATCCACCTTTTCCATCTCCTTCCAAATCCTTTATTTTTCAATACTAAATCCAAGAAACCCCCAATCCACCTAATCTTATACCTTCTCAAAATTATTTTTTGAGATTATTTCTTTCCTTTTCTTGCTTTGTATTCCTCCACCACCTAGTAATTAAAATCACATAAAGAATTTATCTCCCTTTCAAAAAAATATTTTGAGATTTCGAAATTGTATTATTCAACACCCCTTTCAACTCCTAGCCAACACTTCGGCCAAGACTTTGTACGGGGAAGTTACCAAACTTATTGGCCTAAAATCACTTAACCTCAATGAATTTTCTTTTTTGGATACAATGCATAGGAATGAAAATTAGGCCCATTTTTCAAAAATTCATTAACACTCATTAAATCACTTCACACCTCCCAAAAATCCTGAAAAATCACCATTGTAAATCCATCTGGTCTAGTGACTTGTCTCTGCTATGTTCAAATACTGCACTTTTGACTTCCTCTAACTTAGTCAGTTTCTAAAGCCATCTAACCTTGCAATGCTCAATTGGGCATCAATTCAATCCTTCAATCACCGGCCTCCTAATGCCATTAGAGAATACAAATTAGAGAAGAAATTAATCATCTCGCTTTCTATTTGGCTCTCCTCCTCCACAATGCTCCATCCCATTCTTCAATTTTTTTTCCATTTCTTCATTTTCATCCTATGAAATAATCTTGAATTGGGAGTTTTGTTACAATTTTATTAATAGCAGTTAAATTATTGAGCAATTAGGTTGAGGAAGGTAAGAAAGGATTAAGAAGAAGAAAAGAATGAATTAAGGAAGAGGGTAGTGTATTAGGGTTACGAGGCTACATCCCTTTTTATATATAGAATAACAAAGTACCAAGAATACCCTTAAGGGTTACACATCCTAATGTTACATGACATAATACTCTCCCTCAAGTTAGTACATAAATGTCTCTCATGCCCAACTTGCAAATGATAGGAAGCAAAAAAAATGCTACTAAGCCTCTTTGTGAAATTATCAGTCAACTAATTTTATAAAAGGTATGCAAATCAAACTCTTGTTCAACTTCTCTTGGATGAAGTGTCGGTCAATCTCAACATTTTAGTTCTATCATGTTGAATTAGATTGTGTGCAATGTTGATAGCTGCCTTATTATAACAGTACAATTTCATACCTATCATTACCAAGCTCACTTAGTAGAATTTAGAGCCACATAAATTCATAAATTTCATGGGTC